TTGATTCGAAAAGAACCTAATTGACTCATTGAAGGGATTCCTGATACCTCAGGCCTGAAAGAAGTATAAAGAAAAATTGTACGCACTAGTACAGTACACATCTTACGAAGGCCTTTATCTATTTAAAATACGTGATCTTAGTGGTTTTTCCTCATAAAATGCTCAGTAGAAAATGACATGATGCCATTTCTGACCTTAGATCTTTGGTTGCGACCTGGAAAGAAATGACTATACTCCAGAAATCAAAGGAAAATATAATAATAATAATAAAAAATAATAATAATAATAATAATAATAATAATAATCAACAAATAACAAAGTAATTAATAAATAAATAATGAGTAAAAATTCCGCAAACAACATTATAAAATAACTACAAATAACCAGATTCAAAATTATTCCTACTCAATAACCCATAGAATAATTTGAAACATACCCGTTAGCACCTACCCTATAACCATTAGCATAATACATCTTCTTCGAATAATACACCATTTTATATATATATGTGTGTGTGTGTGTGTGTGCGTAATATATATATATATATATATATATATATATATATATATATATATATACATTTGTCTTCCCTTTAAGACAAATAACTTCCACCCTCCTCTGACCCCTGCCTCGTGCCTTTCGTCTGACTGAAACATTGAAATAGATAAATTATGTATTATTTTTTCGACCGTTTTTTATTTTTATTTTATTTTATTTATTTATTTATTTATTTATTTATTTGTTAGCTTTCACAGTTAAATTTGTATTTCCGACACGAACCCAGTCCATACCGGAGTTGATAAGACAACGGAACGACACATATTTTCGTCTGCTGAAATAAGCCTATATGAGGTGCTTTTGGATTTTATTGTGTATTAATCAATTGATCTGTAATAATACATTGAGCTCTTTTTGGGGATCAGTATTTATATTTTACATTACTAGGATCCACTTAAATTATATATCAACGGATTTGTTACCTTTATTATTATTATTACCCCACTCTTTTCCTTATTTTCATCAATGACCTTCCTGACGCCATAGATTCCCAAGTTGGCATCTACGCGGACGACACTACAATTTACTCCTGCCTCAAAAACGAATCTAGTGTCGGCGACGAAACTAACCTGGCCGTGCGTCTTGAAATGAACCTCCAATCGGTTGTTAACTGGGGCAAGAATTGGCTGGTCAACTTTAACGCCTCAAAAACTAAACTACTCTCCATTAACCACCAGAGAGATCCTTCCCTGCCCCCCATTAAAATGTCTGATAGTCAACTTCCTGAGAGCAACTCCATGCGTCTGCTCGGTCTCACGTTGACTGCTGATCTGAGATGGAACAAATACATTGAGTCAATTGCTTCTTCCACCGCGAGGAAAGTTGGCTCTCTGTGCCACGCCAGGAAATTTTTCTCCCTTGAATCGATACTTCAAATATACAAAACAACCATTCGCCCTTGCATGGAGTATTGCTGCCATATAGGGTCTGGAACACCTTCTGCTTACAACGGAGTTCTTGACAAGATCCAGAGACGGATATGTAATCTAATTGGCCCTGATCTGGCGTCTCGTCTGCAGTCACTCTCTCACAGACGCGCCGTCGCCTCTCTCTGTCTTTTCTACAAATACTTTCATGGTAATTACTCCGATGAGCTGCTTTCACTGGTTCCCAGACTCCATGAATTCAAGCGCCCTACGAGGCTGGCATCGCGCTCCCACCCTTATACTATAGAAATTTTTAAATGTAGCCGTCTCTTCTACTCCAATAGCTTCATACCTCGCACCTCTCACCTGTGGAACACCCTTCCCAATTACTGTTTCCCTGTAAGCTATAATCTCCAACTATTCAAATGTAATGTCAATCGACACATCCAGTTACCTTGATCTACCCACTATCCTTCTCCTCATCCTTTCTTCTATCACTCCTATCTGCTCTCGCTCCAAATCTTCCGCAACCCCCTGCATCCTAGTGGCTTCACGCCTTGCTCGGGGCGTAATGCTTAAAAAAATGTGTGTGTGTATGCGCGCGCGCCCTCGCGTGTGTGTGCAACAGGGCACTACCCCTGTTTAAATGCATGAAATTGGAGAATGGTAATTTAGAGGGACTACTAATTTTTCTCCGGTTTAAAATGAATTTTTAAGAATAAAAATCATTCTTGAAGGTTTCTTTTTAGCTTTAATTGAAAGCAAAATTATTAAATTTACTATTTCCAGTAAGCAAAATACTCTGGTGTAATTCAAATAGAAATTATATTGATTAGAATTGATGTTTTGGGGTTGCTTTTAGTAAAATAATTAAAATCAGCCATTTTGACACAACTGTAGGCAAAAGTTAATCTCGGTTTTAAAACTCATAAAAATATAAAATCTACTTTTCGGAAACTTTATTTGTAGAATATAAGCTGATTTAAAGTATAATTACTCGGATTTGAAAAAATATTATTGCCTTTAAGTTTAAAATAATTGAGAAATGGATTTTTAAAACAAACAGCAGCGGTGATTACGTGCTTATGGCCGCTTGCCAATCACGTAACAAGCGCTGACAGATTTATTGTTGTTCTACGGAGACCTTATCTGATAAAACACTAAAATAAAGTACTCAGCAATGTAAAATGTTGGAAAATATTCTCCATAATCAAATCTTAAGAATGTGACTTTAAATGTACTATAGTCATCTTTTATTTTCTGTAAATGTGGTGTATGGTCGATCATACTTTCAAGCATGGGCACGTTCCGGTATATACATAAAAACAATTTTAAATTATTTTAAAAATCTTGGGCCAAAATAATTTTTATTAAGCTTTTCAATTTTTGAATATAAATATAGTTTTCACTTAATAACAATATCACCTAACCAGATGAAAATAATGCAGAATTTGAAAAGATTTATATATTATAAATTATTATAATTAAAATTTTTCAAAACTGAAAACAATGCTTGTAAAAATTCGTCATTCATAAAAAAAAATCATTTTCTTAACACAAAAGTGTCCTTAATAAAAACAATTAAAAGTTTTTTCTAATTAAATAATGTTATAGTTTTATTGCATTTTTATTTCACGATTCGGAGCAGATTTTCGGAAAATGAGTCGGAGTCTGAAAAGGAAATTGATTTTTACATTTTCCAATGCGTCCTGCTTTTAACCAATAAAAGAAATTTTTGGATGAAAATTTAATTTCTCGAAATTTTATAAAATTAAATAAGTGGACGATAACATATTTTAAAAAAATTATTTTTACCAACATTTTTTAAAAAAATTTCAAAAATAATTTCATTGACTTGAGATTAACTCCTGAAAGTTTCCCTAAAATACGACTATTATTTAACTTTTGTAAGTATTCAATGTGTTTTTCACCTGAAAAAGGGCGCTAAAACGCTAATCGTAAATATTACATCGACAGCTAACGTAAAAAAAAAACAAGATCTTTGACCAAAATTTAGAAAGTGCCAGAAAAGATTAAAAAATTTAATAAATTAATAAGAAAAACCTTTGGTCTTTTCTCTTATTAATAACTGTTGTGGTAGGATCCACCTAATTTGCATAGTGGAGTACCGACCATATAAATATGGTTGGTACCGGGAAGAGAGGGAGGAATCAAGAGATTCAACCAGAGACTCTGCCCGACTGCGACTCAGTCAACACATTCTCCAGGACCGGTCTTCCCAGGAATATACAAAAGACTATATGTAAATATTGTGTACACTTTCTTGTTTCAACACATTTTGTTCTAAGTACATTTTGTGTTGCATTATTATTCCATGCATTAGTCAAGTTTCAACAATAACATAAAACATTTTGACGATAAAACTTTGTTTTTAAGTTTGGGTCCCTTATTCATCATGATGCTGTTTTGTTTTGTTTTGTTTTTTGTTTTTTGTTTTTTCTTTTGTTTTTTTAAGTAAAAAAAAAGTGGAGGTACCTATACTAATTGGATAATACTAATTGGATAATAATTATTAAAATTCCCAGAAGAGTAGTTTAAATGGTTTAGAAGAAAATTAAAACGTTAAAATTTATGTTTTAAAATAATAAAATTAAATTAAGAACAGTTCCAAGGAGAATTCAAATACACAAGATTTAGTAAAATTGAGCAAAACCAAGAAAAAAATAATAATAAGCTAAAAGTTTAAAATTATAAAACACCCCGAGGGCTCAGTCTGACTTGACAGAGTTTTAATATAATAATTCAGAATCATCTTCTTCGATGCGCATTGTCCCTTCAGAACAAGGACGATCATGGCTCTCCACAACTACCTATCCTCTGTAGCTCTTAGCAACTTTTCTCTTTTCATTATCTGTCCCAAATTTTGTTCTGTCATTCATTTATACAAGATCGTCAGGTAAGTTCCTCGCTGCTTTCCTCTGTCAGACTTGCCTTCAATATGTCTTGCGTGTGTCAAATTCTCCAAGCCCTCTTTCCTTATTGTGTGTCCTAGAAATTTCAACTGCCTCTTTCTGATTCGAAGTATAAACGTTCTTTTTGTTTCTATTTGTATGGGTGCCGATACGAACTGTCCTTTCTTTATGACGTATGACTTGTACCAAAATGTCCTCGTGCACCAAATTACGGATTGTGCACTCGAACATCCGGGGATTTCTGTCATGGACGTTTCAGAATTCGCCGCATTAATGTTCCGAATTATAGTTAACTGAACGCTGTGAACTATTTTTTACGATTTGATACAGGCAACACATCCCCGATGGAGGCTTCCAAACTTTATGCTCAAAATGACCTGGCGACTTCCAAAAATCGTGCAACTTCAACATCTCTAGGCTTTGCGTGTATTGCATCAATTATAGCATATCCTTTCATCTCAAGTGTTAGCTGATAGTTGGCCATTGATTATCAGAAAATATAAAAGCACATTAATTAATTATCACATGTCTGCAAGCGCTCAATCACATGTCCGCAATTCCCTTATGCGCCTTGTATTGAATAATTTAGACTATCTTACCGCCTGAAGAACGCAACCATTAAGAAACTCAGAGATGAAGAGAGTTAATAGATAGATAGATAAATAGATGGATGTGAGTAGACTGTGATAGATAGATAGATAGATAGATAGATAGATAGATAGATAGATAGATAGATTATGAGTAGACTGAGATAGATAGATAGATAGATAGATAGATAGATAGATAGATAGATAGATAGATAGATAGATAATGAATAGACTGAGATAGATAGATAGATAGATAGATAGATAGATAGATAGATAGATAGATATGAGTAGGGGATATTAATACTTATGAAAATGTTGCATGTTTGTAAAAAGTGGATTTATAATTCACTGATATCAGCCTACCAATTGTCGCGATTCGATGTAGTTCATGAATTGTCGCGTTAACGAAAGGTAACTCTTCACGGTCAGACATCTTCACCATTCGGCTAAAATCAGTGACCTGATAAAATGAATATAAAAAAAATTCAATAATGATAGATAGATAGATAGATAGATAGATCAAACTAGACTAGGTAGAATGATAGATTTGAACAAAGAAAGAAAGAAAGAAAGCAAGAACAGTGAAATAAATATATTACTAGAAAGAAAGAAAGAAAGAAAGAAAGAAAGAAAGAACAATCAAATAATTATATTACTAGAAAGAAAGAAAGAACAATCCAATATATTCCTAGAAAGGAAGAAAGAACAATGAAATAAATATATTACTAGAAAGAAAGAAAGAACAATCCAATATATTCCTAGAAAGAAAGAAAGAAAGAAAGAACAATCAAATAAATATATTACTAGAAAGGAAGAAAGATCAATGAAATAAATATATTCCTCGAAAGAAAGAAAGAAAGAAAGAAAGAAAGAAATAACAATCAAATATATTACTAGAAAGAAAGAAAGAAAGAAAGAAAGAACAATCAAATATATTAATAGAAAGAAAGAAAGAAAGACAGACAGAAAAAAAGAAAGAAATGTACAGAGGAAATAGATAAGTATTCTTACTTTTCTAATCTCCTCCCGACATTGTTGCTGTACATCTGTGTATTTTGCCATATACAAAAAAGCCCACAGTAAGTACGTGGCGGAAGTTTCTGAGCCAGCTGAGAATAAGTCGACAATTGTACGAAATATATTTGCCTCTGTTTAAAAAGAATTAAAAACATGTAACAAAAATGCATGACTATTTACGACGCTACGCCTTCAAGCAGGTGCGATTATTATATTTTCCGGTGTATAAGTATCACTTATATATATATATAAATAAAAAAGAAAGAAAATCACCCTATGTCTTATTTTAACACCTAATCCTCACCCAACTAGACACACGCATTCCACCAAACCGGCCGTTGTTCCGATATGGTCCAGTATTACAAGTTAGACACAAGTCTGCGGTTCCCAATGTCAATTCGAAGCCACCGTCCAGCCACGTTGTGATTGTTTTGATCCTGGATAGTGGTCATCAGATCGTAGAAATCCGGAAGCTCTCCGTTGATCCACCCGCAAGTTCGCCGGTTGAGATTCGGGTTTACAGAAAAATAAATATAACCAAGTTGATTCGATTTTGGAAGGACAAAAGTTGTTTATATATATATATATATATATATATGTAAAAGCAAACACCCAAAAAATAATCTTGTTGCACAAGGTTTAATGTTTCTTATATGTGAACAATAACCAAACAAACAAAAATACTTTCGGTAAGGAGAGATTTGGCCTTCGTTTAAACCCTTTTTGATCTGTTCTTAGCGCAACTACTATAATCTTCGTTGTTCCTGTTCTCAGTAGTAGTAATAATAGTAGTAGTAGCAGCAGTAGTAGCAGGAGTAGCGGTACTTATATGTTAACGGTGGTATTTCGCTTCTTCGCCCTCGGCTTCAGCAACAAACGACGGACGCTTCCTTTTCAATCTCTGACGTCTCTCCACTCAATTCGACTGTATTCGAAGGCAGACGAACCCAAAACTCTCCGTCTCCTCCGGTTGGCTCGCCTCTTTATTAAAATAACCGGCCTCGCGTGTCCCAGATTGTTGACGTATCTGTATTTCTAGTGTGAACGTAATGAGTGCAACTACACTCCTCCGAGAATAAACAATTTACTTTTTCATCGACTGCTTTCCATGGTTCACAACAAGACGCTATTGTTTATCACCTCGCTATTAATTATTCTGCCGCTCTTTGTAAACTACAGAGATTCTTGTTTTAAAAATAAATTCTAGATCAAAATTACCTTAATTTTAAATTCGATTCTTATAGTGACAAAATCCATTTCTCTGTTTAAAAGTTCCAAATTTTTTTTTGTTCCAGTAATTTTCTATTAATAATCTGATATCCTTTGTACACTTACAAAAGATTGTATTTCGTGTTCTAAATTAAATTTCTGTAACATTTACATTTCAAAGTCTTTACAGCATATTAACATCTTGGTTATTCAAAAACACCTCTCTTTCACTTGGTGTTTTCTGTTTTACAGCATATCCTCCTTTATTATCAATATTATTATTTCAGGGGTGATATCGCCCCTGTCACATTATACTGCGTTGGTTATATGGGAGCATTTGTTTTTAATCGGTACCACCCCAAGCGAGGCAGCACAGCCACTAGCACCCAAGGGGTTACAGGGTGTGAAGGAATTAGAAACAGAAACATTAATAATAATGAGAAAGAGAAAAGAGCAACAGGAGGACAGTAGATAGCGATTAACATTACATTTAAATTTTTGCAGATTAAAGTTAGTTAGAAAGCATGGAGCCTGGAGGGAGTTCCACAAGCGAGAATTGCGAGATAAAACTGTTAGTATAGAAATTACGGTTACATCTCGCCAGTTCAAATATACATTGATGAGATCTCACGGCCAGTCTAGTATTGCGCTTAAATTCTAAAAGTCCAGGTACCATAGCGAAGATCTCATCCGAACAATGACCATGAAAGTATTTATAAAAAAAAAAAAAGGTACAGAGAGGCAACCTTACGGCAGTGAGCAAGTGATTGAATCCGAGCCGCCAGATCAGGATCAATAATATTGCCGATTCTTCTTTTGGTTCTTATCAAGGAGCTCCAGGGAAACAGTAGGTGCAATATTCTAAGCATGGACGAATGGTAGACTTATAGATATGCAAGATAGATTCCAGAGAAATAAATTGTTTTGCTCAACACAGTGAACCGACTTTCTTAGCAGCTGATGGATTCAATTTTTCTTTCCACCTCATTTCAGCTGAGAACGTTTGCCCGAGAAGGCGCAATGATTCACGTACTTTAAGGATAGCATCAACCATACCAACGGAAAGGAGAGAGGGGTCTCTCAGATTATTAATGGAGAGCAGTTTAGTTTTGGAGGCGTTAAAATTGATAAGCTATCTTACTATCAAGTCAGGAATAAATAACTTACATGTATTTTTGTTTTAGTAGTCGGTGAATCTTTCATTTTTCTTAAATATTCTTCGAGAATATAGATCCTAATAGCTATATGCTTCTTTAAATCACGGAATTGCAGTAAAATTCGCACCTTATTTTTTTTTTAATCATTTCATAAACAAAGTAATAAAGGCGTGACGAGTTTCTTGAGAGAATATATATATATATATATATATATATATATATATATATATATATATATATATATATCTTCTCTATATATATATATATATATATTCTCTCTCTCTCTATATATATATATATGTATATATGTATATATATATATATATATATAGAGAGAGAGAGAGAGAGGATCTTATCTATTAATTCGCACCAAATGATGTAAATTTACTTATCGCAAATAAATAAATAAATCCACCTTAAAAAATTGTGAATTTTAAATCAAATTTTGTTTTTGCTTGCCTCGCAATAACTCCAAACCTCAGGATTAAAAATTACCAAAAATCAGGGAGTTCTTCACATTTCGTAAGTGCGGATGATATTCGAGGTACTTACAAGGAATTTTCTACAATTTAAAAAGAAAAAGAAACTATTTTTGGTGTGTTTATCGGGGTGAACGGAAAAGCGGACCCCTCACACTTAGAAATACCGCACCCGAGTTGGGGCAATCGCAATGTTCAACCCAGCCGGAGTGCAATGGAAGGGCCTTGCTCTTAGAAAATTTGGTGTGGATTTTAGTAAACGTAAATTTTTTTTATTTTGAAATGAATTAATATTTTGGGGTGAATTAACAGAAAACGTCCGAGAATATATTTTGTAATTATTTAAATCAATTTAATTTTTTTAATAAGTTCCGTCCTAATCCGAAAGTTTTGCAATGAATATGGGAGATTCCCTGATATTTTAGCATTAAAGCATGACAACAGCTCGAATAATAACGCATAAAACATATTTAACACGTGCGTCGCTTAATTCTTGGAACTGACAATAAATGCAAAACTTGACAAATTGAAGTCAAAAAAATACAAGTGTCATGTGATAGGCTGTAAAATGGGTCGGGATAGAAGATGTAAAAAAATACAAGGGTCATGTGATAGGCTGTAAAATGGGTCGGGATAGAAGATGTAAACAAAAAAAAAAAAAGAAAAAAAAAGCGATATTGATCGACTCAAATTTCGTTTATTCCATCCGAAAGCTAATACTAAAAATTTTTTTTTTAAAAAAAATGACATTTTCAAGATTTATTATTTTCGAAGTTTCATTAATTTTTTTTATTTAAAATTCTTCTTTCACTCAATTCAATAGAATATTTTTTAAAAGAAAATCAAAAAAAATATATTATTCAGAGATTTAGTAAAAAAAACTTCGAAGAGAAATGTCAAGCTTCTCTCAAGCTACGCATTTCTTTTTTGACCCTAGAACAACCGGGTGAGAAATTTATTGCAAACTCCTCCTTCGGATCTTCTGAACAGGAGTACCTGGCTACTACAGTAGTGGAAAAAATAGAACTTAGAGTTGAGTTTAAGGGAGATAACTGGGACATCTGGAGGAGACATAACACGTGGAAGTAGAGCAATCTACTCTGGTGAATTAAATAAAGGGTTCGGTTCGAAATTCCAATCACCTAAAGAAGGCTGGAGCGTACAACGGTCGAAACGTTGTGACTATGGCAACAAAGGTGAGTACAACAGTCCGAACAATGTAAATAGTGTAAATAATTACTAATTATTTATTTATTTTCAATAGGGTTAGATGGGTTCCCCTGTTGTGCTAGTTTATACGCTCCCCACCCCGCGTGGGTGGGGAGCGTATAACACTAGAATGAACAGCTCCTTTGACATCTTTATTTACATTACGCCGTGAAGCAGCCATCTCAAATATTTTTAATATTCATGTCAGGAATAACAAGTCTGAAAAATAATTCACAAATATTAGTATTACTGAAAGAAATTGATTTATATATATATATATATATATATATATATATATATATATATATATATATTATGTGTGTGGATAGATAGATAGATAGATAGATAGATAGATAGATAGATAGATAGATAGGAGACATAAACACAAGTATTATTGCTTGTGAGAAATTTTTCAATGCATTTACCCTATAAATAGCCTAGGTGTCAAAAACGACACCTCGGCCATTCAAAGTAAAACCGCAAATATCAGCTATTCCACTGAATATTTTTTAAAGAATTAAGTCTGTTAAGCATCTTTGCTAAAATTCAATAATTGTCCATAAGCCTCAGCATCGAACCAAAACTAGTTATTCCATAGGAATTTGTTGAAAATTTGAAGTTGTCGAAAACGACACCTCGGCCATATTAGTGTTAAACAGGAGTAGAGGTTTGTTTATTGTCTCCTGCTTAGGATTAGGTTTCCGGTTCCTTCTAAAGTCTACTTCAACGTTGTGCTTCTAACATCTTCGTCTAAACTCTTAATTTTTCTTTACTACTTATTTTCCTCAATAGAAGTAGATACGTTACCTACCATCGGGTTCACACTCCTTTCCGGTTTTTTTGAACAGGAGTAGAGGTTTGTCCCTTGTTTCCTGTTTTGAATTGGGCTTCCAGTTCCTTTCCAAAGTCGACTTCAGTGCTATACATCTAACGTCTCCACCTAAACTCTGAAATTTTCTTTACTATTTATTTTCTTCATTAATAGGAGTATATAGGTTCGCCTATCATACGGTTCACACTCCTCCCCGCTCTTTTGAACAGGTGTAGAGGTTTATCCTTTGTTTCCTGTTTAGGATTGCGTTTCTGGTTCGTTCTAAAGTCTTCTTATTCTCTTTCACTCCCGGTAGCTCGCCTTGTAGTCTCAATAGCATTATCGCCTTACTTGAAATGAATTAAGAAAAATTCATTTTTCTCCGATTTAGCTGCATTAATTTGACACTTTTAATTGCTTTTGAGTTAACACTTTTTTTAATCATTTCTAAGTAAATGGATATGTTAGAATCAGTTTCTTTCTTCTTACCTATATAATGTGTACCGCACTTGGCTAGTCATGTCACATTCAACGATGAATTAAATGAGCCCCATCTTTACAGAAAAAATCATTTTTGATAGACACCTTGGCCAAATAATGAAGTTCCTGACTTATGAATGATGTGTGAGCAAAGACAGCATTTTGCAATATATATTAGTTTTTCTGTTCAGAGTCGGGTAGAAGGTGCTTCAGTACTTTTTTTTTGCACGGTCTCTTTCTAGAAAATCAAAATAATAAAATACATTGTTCCGACATCTGTCCAAACGTACTTACTGTAGACTTTTCTTGTATATAGCAAAATAAACAACTGTACAGCAACAATGTCGGGAGGTGATTAGAAAATTAAGAATATTCATCTATTTCCCTCATTTCTTTCTTTCTTTCTTTTTTTCTATATTCAAATCTACCATTCTACCTAGTCTAGTCTGTTCATAATTTTCTGATCTATCTATCTATCTATTGTTATTGAATTTTTTTATATTCATTTTATCAGGTCACTGATTTTAGCCGGATGGTAAAGGTGTCTGACCGTGAAGAGTTACCTTTCGTTAATGCAACAATTCATGAACTACATCGATTTTTTCATTATAAACATTTGGGCTTTTGATGCCAGTTACTAAAAAATGTCGCCCACTATATATTTGGCAACCCAACATTTAGTTTTTCAAAAATAATTTTTCCCTTTTTCCTATTTTGGTTTTGTATAAAACTGCGCATTTTCAAAATAAGCTTACGGAATTGATTTGAATACTAAGTAATTCGAATTTTGTGAAAACAGCTGAGAAATTAGCTATATATATATATATATATCAGGTCATCCCATAAGTTCTCTCCGAATTTAACTTTTTGTTAAAATGAATGAAATTTAAAGAGTATTTTTAATGTCTAATGGAGCTGAACATTATTTTTATGTTTAGATGCATTTAAACTGATCATATTTTATTTCAGAGAACAATAGATTTAAATTTTTTTTATTAAAACCCTGCTAACATGGAAGTACCCAAGAATCATTTGAGGCACATAATTCTTTATGAGTTCAAGAAAGGAAACTCAGCAGCCAAAGCGGCTAGAAACATTCACTCAGTTTATGGAGAGGAATGTGTGAATGAAAGAAATTGCAGAAGATGGTTTGCAAAATTCAGAGGTGGAGATTTCACCCTTGAAGATGAAGATCGAACCGGACGTCCAGTTGGGTTTGATGAAAAACTTCTTGAAGCAGCCCTTGAAGAAAATCCTGCTTTATCAGTTGAGTAATTGGCAGTGGTTCTCAGTTCAAAACATACAACTGTTTATCGTCATCTTCAACAACTTAGAAAAGTTCCTAAACTTGGAAAATGGGTGCCTCATGAATTGTCTGAAAACAACCTCAAATCCCGAGTTGACATCTGCTCTTCTCTCCATTCACGCCAACTTGTTTCACCTTTTTTGGATAGACTTGTGACTGGCGACGAAAAATGGATCTTTTATCGAAATGTTAAGCGTAGTAGACAATGGCTTAGTAAAGGGGAAGGACCCCAGCCACAGCCGAGAAGGGAACTTCATGGGCAAAAGGTCTCTTATTTCAATCTGGTGGGATCGCCAAGGAATAATCCACTTTGAATTCTTACCACCTAATGCAACAATTAATGCTCAAATATACTGTCAGCAATTAGAGCGTTTGAACCAAGCTTTGAGGAAAAAAAGACCTGCTCTAGTGAATCGAAAAGAGGTGATATTTCATCAGGACAATGCGCGACCCCACACAGCAAGAATCACGTCACAAAAGATCGAAGAACTTGGTTGGGAGAAAATTCCTCATCCACCTTATTCTCCCGATCTTGCTCCTTCAGACTACCTTTCGTTTCGTAGCTTACAGAATCATTTGGAAGAAACAACTTTTGTAACACAGGAAGAGGTTAAAACTGACATTTGTGAGTTCTTCGAATGAAAGCCAAAAGAATTTTACAGTAATGGAATTAGTAAGCTTGTTAATAGATGGAAGGAAGTCATAGATAATCAGGGAAAATACATTGTTGATTGAATCTGTAATTAAATGTAACATTTGGTCACTTTTAAAAACTAACGTGATTGTTAAAGGTTATGTGGGCAGCTGAAATGTACAAATATAGATTTGCATGTGTTATCGGGTGCTTAAATGACAGTGAAATCTATTTACCTGAATAAGATTCACTTTTCTCTGTTAGTGTTTTTAAAAGATACATGTCAATAAAATCCCTCGGATTGTTACCATCAAATGTGTCTCGATGCTCGTGGATTTTCTTTTGGAAGTGATCCTGAAGAATTTGGTCATTACTACAAAGTATTTTTGCCTGGAGTTTTAAAAAAAAAAAGGTAAAATATAAATAAATAAATAAAAGTCAATAGATTCCAGTAGAAAAATTATTTGATAATGGCTAATAGAATCAGATTGAACTCAGAAAACATTGGACAATTTATATTCAAATTCCCCTGGAAACCAGGAAAATAATCTGTACCGTATATAACATTATATAAAAAAATTTAAAAAGTGGATAGGTCATAAATGAAATATTTTTAGCCAAATGCAGCACAGAAAGAAAGAAAGAAAGAAAGAAAGAAAGAAAGAAAGAAAGACAGACAGATATAGATAGAAAGCTAGCTAGCTACCTATATAGGATAGATAGATAGATAGATAGATAGATAGATAGATAGATAGAAAGAAAGGAAAACAGACAGATATAGACAGAAAAACAGACAGCTATAGATAGAAAGACAGACAGCTATAGATAGACATACACACATCTAGATAGATAGATAGATAGATAGAAAGGAAGACAGACAGACAGACAGATATAGACAGAAAAACAGACAGCTATAGATAGAAAGACAAACAGACAGCTATAGATAGACATACACACATATAGATAGATAGATAGATAGATAGATAGATAGATAGAAAGGAAGACAGACAGATATAGACAGAAAAACAGACAGCTATAGATAGAAAGACAAACAGACAGCTATAGATAGACATACACACATATAGATAGATAGATAGATAGATAGATAGATAGATAGATAGATAGATAGATAGATAGAAAGGAAGACAGACAGACAGATATAGACAGAAAAACAGACAGCTATAGATAGAAAGACAGACAGGTATAGATAGACATACACACAGATAGATAGATAGATAGATAGATAGATAGATAGATAGATAGATAGATAGATCGTGAATATATTGAGATAGATAGATAGATAGATAGATAGATAGATAGATAGATAGATAGATAGATAGATAGATAGATCGTGAATATATTGAGATAGATAGATAGATAGATAGATAGATAGATAGATAGATAGATAGATAGATCGTGAATATATTGAGATAGATAGATAGATAGATAGATAGATAGATCGTGAATATATTGAGATAGATAGATAGATAGATAGATAGATAGATAGATAGATAGATAGATAGAAAGGAAGGAAGACAGACAGACAGATATAGACAGAAAAACAGACAGCTATAGATAGACATACACACAGATAGATAGATAGATAGATAGATAGATCGTGAATATATTTAGATAGATAGATAGATAGATAGATAGATAGATAGATAGATAGATAGAAAGGAAAACAGACAGACAGATATAGACAGAAAAACAGACAGCTATAGATAGAAAGACAGACAGCTATAGATAGACATACACATAGATAGATAGATAGATAGATAGATAGATAGATAGATAGATCGTGAATATATTGAGATAGATATATAGATAGATAGATAGATAGATAGGAAGGAAGACAGACAGACAGATATAGACAGAAAAACAGACAGCTATAGATAGACATACACACAGATAGATAGATAGATAGATAGATAGATAGATAGATAGATAGATAGATAGATAGATCGTGAATATATTTCGATAGATAGATAGATAGAAAGGAAGACAGACAGACAGATATAGACAGAAAAACAGACAGCTATAGATAGAAAGACAAACAGACAGCTATAGATAGACATACACACAGCTAGATAGATAGATAGATAGATAGATAGATAGATAGATAGATAGATCGTGAATATATTGATACTTACTGTAACCTTGAATACTTTTACTGTATATTTTGTAATGCTAGTATTGTGATACTGGTGGCATGAAAATGCCCCAAGGACTCAAAGCACTCTTCACAGATTTTCACTGTTGCTGTCATGTTACATTTACCAGTGCCAACTCTCGCTAGTTCTGACTGAAGGGCAAATATTACCATTGTTAAGAGAATCTATTTTTTTATGAGACTCCGAGTTCTGGGTAATTTGATGTGGTTTGATGGAGGTCTTTCATTCATATATTCGTATTCGTTGGTTGGCGCCAAAATTAATCGAGTTTGGTGGCTGTCAGTTGTTGCCGAAACCTGCTCCAGTGAAGTCCGTTTACTACCCTTCACTGAACTGACATGTAAGCTACAACTTGTTCAAATTAATTGAAACAACCGCTTTAATTTCCTTTCTTTCGCCGTACGGTCAGTTTTAGACCAACTGGAGTGACAGGCTGTAATCGATTTCTATTTTTTCCTGAGATTAGGTCATTTGCAGTGGTGTGCAGTAATATGAATCTATTTTCGGGGTGTATGATGAAGTTTGTTTGGCCTTGAAAAATATTTTGTCATCCATGATTGCATCAGATTTTTATCACGCACAGACACTATTGTCTCGACTGTCGATTAGTTATTCTACAGCCATTGTCTGCAATGGATGTTACTTCAAGGAAGCGTCCAAAAATTGTAACGCTGCATGGACACACTGGCAAGCTTTATTGGTGAGCAAACCAAAGTACTATAGACTTGCACGTAAACTGTCCTAATTAAAATCCAATCGAGAATCTGTAGTCAATCTACAGGAAGCGATTTCGTGGAATGGACATACGGTGTAGTAACATGTGCATTGGGTCATGCTTCATTGGAAAAATACGAAAATAAGTAAATAATAACGGAATTGTTCTTTTTGTTTCTATTAATTTGCACAAGGGTATATATATATAAATGAGAACTTTAATGAAAGGTCTTTAGCATGCAAAAAGTGTATTGATGGATCCTAACTCTAATGGATACAATTACACTGGTCAACAAAAAAATCAGTTGTTGCCGAAACCTGCTTCAGTGAAATCCGTTTACTACACTTTATTGACCTGACATGTAAACTGTTGTTATGGGCGCGTGTTCATTGCGCATATATCTTTTGTATTATTAATGATTCAAGAAAACAACAAAACTCCAAATGTGAATCAACAAGTATATATTGAAATAACATACAAGAACAAAATATACAATAATTTGTATTCAATGTATAGATTAAGGGAAAAGAAGTTGCTTCCCTTTTACTGTATTTTGATTTGTGATTGATTGTTCGAAAGAAAGTTCTCTTGAGAGAAATGTTCAGGAATCAATGTTAGAACAAGTCTGCTGTTAGAATAGATAACACAAGAATACAATCGATCAGAAAGTGTGTTGTGTTAGAGAAATCAACAGAGTCCTAGTTGATTGAACTTGGCTGAGTCACAGAGAGATATGTATATGAATTACAAAATTCTGTGTCTGTGTGTGCGTTTGAAATGTTGTGAGTAAAGTCATAGGTTTGTGTTGGCAGGCGAAATTTAGTGGACTGTACCGGCGGCTTGTGAAAAAGTCGCCTCTTTTAAAGCTACAGATAGGCTCCCAGCGAAAACGCGGGAAAAGTTGATTTTGCACTAAAATATGTGATTGGTTAAAAAATTACCAATCGCTAAATTTGTACTAACGAAACAAGTAAGTTCAAAACCGAAAAATTCAAAACAACGACTGCGATGGCTAAATTGTCCTATAGAAAGGCAGTATTGGTTTATTAGCCAATCGCAGACGAATAAATTTTTTTGTTTAGTATAAAAATTTAGTTAGTCTTCTTGCGATCTCTTTACTTTTTTTTCTTATATCTTTTGTCTCACTCGTGACATCCTTACTATTATCATCATCTATTGATAATCGTACATTAATAGAGTTATTTTGATTATTTGTGAAGCGACGTTCATTTATGTTGATGAACTGCGCTAATTTCCATAAGTGGCAATTTAACATACGATAATTTGATCGATGTCTTGTTAGACTGTATCTCCAACATCAAGAGACAAACACAATAACCACACATTCCACAATTACTACACATTCTCTTAGTTTATGTTTCGATAGAATGATTCTATAAATTATAACCGGCAGTAATATAAATAGATAGAATATTACCATTACTATTAAGTCCATTTTATTCCTGGGGAGAGATAAATACAAAACCTTGAACTGGGAAGATTTTATTAATCTTAACTTACAGGAGAGTTCCAGCGGATATGATACAACCAAGGGAAAAAAAATCAGTAGGCCGCCATTTTTAAAAAGGTAATCCAGAATTTCGGTCAGTTTTTCAAAATCCGGTTCGGTGTAATCCAATCTACAAAAAAAGCGGGAAAACGATCACAAATGAAACAATAGTCACGCACGTTACATTGCCAAAAAGATATTCTGACGGTTGTGTTAGATTATTTGCCAGTTTAAGTTACCGGAAAGGGGAGGGGGAAGAAATAGGAACACGGAGAAGTGTGAAAACAAACATAGAATTAACTCTACTGCTTTTGCGTGTTCGCTGAACGTAGGCATATGTGACAGCTGCTGGTGCTGCCGCCGCTACTATTACAGCTGCTGCTGCTGCTGCCGCCGCTACTATTACTGCTGCTGCTAGTGAAATTTCATATTCGTTGGGAAGTTGTATTGAAAAAAAAGAAAAGCAAATAAACAGAAAATATGAACAGATGTAGAAAATCACAAAAATAATTTTCATTCCACTTATGCGTTTTGTTATATATATATATATATATATATATATATATATATATATATATATATTCAGCTGTATTTATATGTGTTTGTGACCCTGGGTTTCATGGTTTCACAGTTTTGTGATCATCAGACAAACCAGTATGTTAGCTCTATCACTGATATTGAGAACTTTCCAATAACTACTGCGCATATAAAATAAAATATATATAAAACACATACACATATATATACGCACATACACTCACACACACACACACATATATATATATATAATATTACGCTGTGAATGCTAGTGTTAATAAAATAGTGCTCGATGTAGAATAATTTTCCAATCAGAACCTGACGTTTGCATTGTGAATGAAACTGCTGTGTCAGTGAGGAATATATATATATATATATATATATATATATATATATATATATATATATCATTTACTTCATTAAGTGTAACTTTGTATTCATTTATATTTAATATTGCCAACGAATATCTTTTGAAAAAGCGTTGGCCGAAAGGTACCTTAGATATGACGTACGTTTTGTTATATATATATGTATATATATATATATATATATATATATATATATATATGTATGTATGCATGTATATGTATCCACATAAGTAGAAAGAACAGACAAATTAATAATGAACAGTTCTTTAACATTTATGTTTTAAAAAGTGCTCGATACAAAGTAGAGCGTTGAAAAAACATTTTTAAATAATAATAATAATATTATATATATATATATATATATATATATATATATATATATATATATATATATAGTTAGTTAGTTAGTTTATGTAAACTTAGGTAATCCGTATGGGTAGACCCAAGGAGGATGATATCCAGAGAGCTCAATGTAAAATTCAGAGCAGATATGTTTGAATAAAAAACAGACCACGTTAAGATTCCATGTAATAAGCTATTTTACCATAACCCCTTTTACAGGGTTCTGGATCATCAGACTTTACTTCCAAAAGCTGAAATGAAAAAGTGAAAAGAAATTCACACGTTTTTTACGGACCTCATCAAGTCTACGTAAAATTAACGAAGTGAGGGAGTGAGGTGGGAGAGAGGATATGAGTGTGTCATATGTATCATTTCAGTTTCCTATTTTAACCCTGTAGACATCTCAATGTATAGAATACAGAGCAATATGATATAAATCAAGGAAAAGCTTAACCCATCACGAAATCTCGTGACACGTTAAGCTTTTCCTTGATATATATATATATACACTACAATTCAAAATTTTTAGGCCACCTCTGGTAATTGTTTAAATTTACACAAGAACTAGTTGTTTTGTATTTTAAATAAGAAAAAATTATAATACACTAGCAGTAGAGCCCGGCGTTGCCCGGGGATGTAACAGTAAGAGATAGATCAAGTATCGACCATCATAAAGACTGAAAAATAAAATTGACAAAGATTATTGTTTAAGGTTGACGGACACGCATGGCTTAATTAGTTTTTTTTGTTTTGTTTTTTTGGGTTTTTTTTTACAAATTGGTCAAACCCAAACTCAAACAAAAACATTGTTTTCAATCGTTATGAGTCTACTGATTGAATAGAATTTTATTATAAACAATTGTCTTGTCAATGGAATTTTCAAAGCATTCTAAATGTAAAAATAAAGAAAAAAGTGTGCAAGACAATAAGAAACATTACCTGCCAAAAAAAAGTGAAGTTTTGTTGAAATCGGTTGAAAAATGTAGGAAATCCGATCCCATATATAAACGAACACACACACACACAAACAACCTGGGTTTTATAATAAGTATAACTCGATATGAGTTGTCCCCCTTTCATTCTCGCGATGCCTCTTAATCGTGTTTTCCAATTGATTTCGTGCAAGAACAATTGTGTTTTTCCAATTTTTGGCGCTTTCAGAACCACCGCAGGATAATTTTACGTAGTCCTGTGAAGTTTTGTTGAAATCGGTTGAAAGATGTAGGAAATCCGATCCAATATACAAACGTACAGACACACTCACACAATCTGCGTTTTATAATAAGTAAGATGGTAAAAAAAGTGATACATGTGTTTTTTTTATTAGAAATTTTATTATAAAAAAATTAAAAAAAAATTTCTAATTAAAATTTGCTCTCGTTAAAATATCCTCCTTTAGCCTTGATTACTGAAAAATTACATTTTTGGCATTCGTTGCAAAAGTTTCTCAAAGTATAAGTTTGAGAATTGATTTCATTCTGCTTTTCAATGACTTTAAATTTTTTTTTTCATTCTTCTGCCAAGTTCATCCCATGTCTGGGGTTATGTCAAACTTTTGAAGTGTAGTATATATATATATATATATATATATATATATATATATATATATATATATATATATATATGCCTGATTAAATAAATTAGAGATATTATGTCTGCTTATTTTTAATAAAATTCGTTCATACTCACAGATAAACTTCCGCGTATTGCAATTAAATGGTGTGAGAAATGTGCTATAACTATGAAAATCGTTTTTATTTTCCATTTCTCAAGTACTTTCGATCTTCTTTCGAGATCATCTTCAAGGGTGCACGTAGTAATACAAAACTGTGTGTTGCTCCCAAGTGCAAATAGCAATAGAAAATAATTTATTTAATAAGTCGTGCGTAAAGAGTCTTTACAGTCTAAATATATATATATATATATATATATATATATATATATATATATATATATATATATATTCTTTACAATTGGAATTGAGACTGAACGTATCTTAATTCCAACTGTAAACAAAATTTTGCTCTATTTAATGAAAATGAGCGCTCTTTTGATGAGTCAGTTTTAACCATATTTCCAATTCTATGTTTTGTTAATAGGACTCGCCTGTATTATGCAATATATATATATATATATATATATATATATATATATATCAAAAGAAAAAGTCAAATTTATAACACAGAGTTCTTTTGCATTTATATCTTAAAAACTGTGCTCGACACACAGTAGAGTATAATATTATAATTATTATTTAAAAATATGTATTCATCACGTCACAGAGATTACCATGTTTAATTTAAGATTTAGGTTTTGGTTTTGAAATATGGTAATTTCCTTGTCGCGATGAATACACATTTTAAATATATATATATATATATATATATATATATATATATATATATATATATATGTTGTTTAAAAGTACTGTACATACGTGTGTGCATTAAGTTTCTTTTATTTTCTTTTTCTTTTGAGGTGGGGGGCTTCACGTGTCACATTGTTAATCGTCTGTGGGTGCGATATTTAAGAAAAATAATCCCTAATCCTATAGACGTGTCGAAGACGTATCGCTTGAAAATTGTGAAATGGAACCGCTCAGAAAACATTGGGCAATTTGTGCTCAAATTCTCTCAAGCAAAGTTTTATGTATACTGACCTTTGTCCGAATACGATGTTATAAATGACATTCATGACTGCACCAGCGAGGTCTCCCTTCAGGTTGAAGGGTTTTCCATCATGAGATTCAATCAGTTTGACTAGTTCCGTAATTTCAGTGTGGATTTTTTCTTCCAATTTGCATTTGCCCATACCGAAATCTCGGAGGTTCGAGATTGTGAATCGTCGCAAATCTTTCCATTCGTGTCCAGTGTTGAATATAACCCCTTTAACAAAAAAAGAAAAAAAAAAAGGCATGTAAAAAGAATCATCGTAATTTGGTGCATGGGGACATTTTGTTACAAGCCATACGTCATAAAGAAAGAACAGTTCGTATCGGTACCCATACAAATAGAAACAAAAAGAGGGTTTCTACTTCAAATCAGTTAAAATTACTAAGACACACAATAAGGAAAGAGGGCTTGGAAAATTTGACACTCGCAAGACATATTGACGGCACGTCTGACAGAGGAAAGCAGCGAGTAACTTACCTGACGATTTTGTGTTATGGTTGACAGAACAAAATTTGGGAGAGATAAAGAAAAGACAAAGAGCTACAAAAAATAGGTAGTTGTGGGGAGTCATGATCGCCCTAGTCTTGAAGGGACAGTACACATCGAAGAAGATGATGCTGAATTATTTATTATATTAAAACACTCTCAAGTAAGATTGAGCACTCGCGGTGTTTTATAAATTTAAACTTTTACCTTATTATTTTTTTCACTATAGCGCATATATATATATATATATATATATATATATATATATATATATATATATATATTTAAAGATATTTTTGTAGGTACAAAATTTAATGATCGAAATAAAAGTATAAAACTTAATATTACGAGACATATAAAAAAAAAACGGGCGAAGCAACCGGTTTCGCTCCCGCTCTTCAGGCTTCAACGAGAGATTTAAAATTAATACAGAAAAATGTACAATAAAAGGAAGTTGTAAAAAAAAAATAATATGAAAAGGAACTAGAGACACATGGCAGCGTCCCAACAAACACTCACGTTATTTGCACAAAGAAGGCTTACGGGACCCGATGTAAAGTGTCTCCAGAGCCTTTAGATGAAATAAGGAGTGAGACCGGGACAACACGGTGAACCAGTCAACACTAATATTTAGTCACCCCCCCCAACGAGGGTATCATGTGGCACAAGGCCGGTTTAACGTGGGATCTCCGAGCCCTTGGGCTCGGCCAAAAATATGCCCTTTCAACCGATCAGAGAGTTCAACCGATCAGACGGTCAGCCGGTCAGCCGGTCGTCCGACTTCAGACTGAACACGTCAACACTAAATTTGGCTGCACAATCTCTGTTCTTTAATAGGTGTTCGCATATGGCGGAACTATAGGTGTTCGGGACGAGTCCATTCAAAGGCAAGGTGTGATTTCTAATTTTTGTAGGAACGTGTTGTTTTATTCTCATGTCTAAGCGTTGAGTTGTTCTCCCTATGTAGAGCATTAAAGATCTGCTCTGAGCCTTTCTTGAACGACGAAATCGACTTTATTAAGGATACCCTATGTAGCTTGGGTTATCCTCTTGATACTGTTAATTCAGTTATCCGCAGTAAAGTTGAAGAGTTCAGAAGTGCCGAGCTCTACACTGTTAAAAAATGCCCAGTTTACCTCAGAGTACCCTGGATTGGTACCAAATGTGAAAAAATAGCTAAACAAATTTCATCCAATGTTCGTCGTTGTTTTTTCTCTGCCGAGGTTCGGATTATTTTTCAAACTCGACCTATGTTTCGATCTGCGTGTAAAGACGTTCTCCCTCCCCATCAAATTAATTCAATTATTTACAAATACGTTTGTAGTTGCGGAGAACAACTCAACGTTAAAAATTAATTTAAAAGTTAATTTTATTATTATTCACTTAAATATTTCAATATTTCATCATTGGTCTGGTCTACAAGTTCATGTTTAACGTTTTGCTGATTGTTTACAGCATTTAATAGGAATAGAATTTCCGGGATAAACAGATTAACTTAAAATATTTTTTTTAATATGCCGAAAAAATTTAAATCATATTCACTTGAAAGTATTTTTTTAAATATACCAAAAATATTTCTTTAATATTTAAAATATTGTTTGTTTAAAGAAAACTTACAAATAATTACTGTTACACTACGAACAACTTGATGTAACAGCAAAGCGGGATCTTTTTGTGTCTGTCTTTAATTTGCTTGAAGAAACTTGAAATGAAAATACTTACTATATAAACAAATCATATTTTTAAATCTGATCCACATTAATCAGATTAATTTAAATCATTATGCGCGGGATAGACACATCATACAAGCACACACACAATCACAGACATTTAGTATTAGATAGATAGATAGATAGATAGATAGATAGATAGATAGATAGATAGATCTAAACTAGGTAAATAAATTGTTTTGTTGTGTTTTGTTTTGTTTTTATACATTAACAAACGAACCAAGTAAAGCAATTTATTTAGCTAGTTTAGCAACATAAATTTATTAAGAGCAGTAAATGACAGGAAGTTGTGGAGAGACATGATTTCCAACGTACTAAAGTGATGTGGCATATAAAAGAAGAAGCAACATGAAGGGGTAAATTTATAGTTTTAATGGGACGGATGCAAACTGGACGTTAAAGAGAAGTAGTCTCGGATCATCGCGTTTAGTTTTTTCACTCCGGCTATTTCTTTGTTTGAAAAGAAGCTGAGAAACTGCATTCTAACCCCAATCTGTTGAATATGTGGAGAGAAAAAATGATTACTTTGTTCTAATACCATCTTGCCTCCTCCAACAGCATTTTTTCTCTCACCTCCGTTCCTACTTTCCTTTTGGCTCTCAGCGCTTCTCTGGATCTGTCCATTAGCCACGGAGCGGGTGCTACCGACATGAAGAATACCAGTTGTGAGTTGATGAATTAAGAAACAAAGGGAGGCAACTTACGCCGGACAAAGGGGAATAATCTGATTCTTTTTTTTTTTTTTTTTGTATCATTTACTTACAATTTTATTTATATTCCGAATTATTTATATTTCGTATTATAAATATATTCATTTATATTTATTCTTACTTATATAATATTAATTTTATTCATTATATTTACACATCTCAAAGTGAAATACAAAATCATTACGTACCTACTTCTTTTTCGAGTATTATTTTACTTTTTTGTTAGATGAAGCATTATCAACAATTATTCATTTTGACTGCTATTTATTTCACCTTAATTTTTAATCATTAAAGCTAAATTTAAAAATCAATTTCAAGATAAAAAAAATATGTACTTGCGTCAACTGAACAATAATGGGAGTTGAAATATTTGAGAAATGTTTTTAACCATTTTTTGTTATCTCAACGACAAAATATAAAACAACAATATGTTTTAACAAAACATTTTTATATCAACATTATACAAAAACTGAAGAATGAATTTACTCGGGTAATTTAAACTGAGTTGTAAATTGTTAAATTGATGTTTATCACACCAAAAATTGTTTTATGGCAGGAAAAAGAGTTCGTTCGATTGTGCACAAAGTGTATGTCAATATGTAGAATTTATAATTAGTTATAGCAAGAGTTATCTACCTTTAACTTGAAATTCTTAAAGCCTTTTAACCCTTGAACAACCATGGAAAATTTTCGTATTTTTAATTACAATTTTCAGTACCTGATTTTCTTACTTAAATAATATGGTTTTCAGTTCCTATTAATGTTAACTCAAAGTAGAAAGTTTGAAGTGCGTGCATGTAAAATATTTCAAATAAAGATTTATATTTAATATTTTTTTTATATTTTCCAAATCGGGTATGATATAGCCATGGTTAGTAGTGGTGTAACTTTAATTGATGGTTAGTGTTCTAGGGTTAAGAGGAAATATTTTTATCTGAACTCACAGAAAAGATTTGAGTTCTTCATGAAATAAAGTTCAGTCTCAGTGAAAGAAATGTTCTTCGATAGTGTTATAGACTGGAAATTGAGTACATCTAGGTTGTGTAATGGTTAGCAAGTTTGTCTCGCTAGAACAATTGCGACTGAGTAGTGAGTTCGATCTTCAGTGGGGGCCATATACTTTCGGTCTTGTTCCACATCTGAGCTGTGTTTGGAAAATCACTATAGACTGGAAAGTTCGTATGAGAAGAGTTCAATGAAACTTGTTTAGTGAAAGGAAATTATAGTCTTCACTTGCAATATCAAAAAGTTGCGTTTGGTACTAAAAATATAGTTTTTAAACTTCTGAACAAAATTTAGCGTAAATAAGTTGAAACAACTTGCCGCTTAAAAAGTTCACCGAAGAGAGATGAATATGAATAAGAGAATTCTGGGAGATTGAGATTATGTTGATAAGAACTTTTAGTTCCAGAAGATTTTGAAGTAATCTTTCTCGCTGGTGAAAAACTGGTAAGATTTGAAAACTTAAATTCTTAACTGACGTGTTGGCAACGTATACTGTTGACTTTCAAGGGCTATCACTGTTAGAAATTGAATAGTTTCTGTATTCTTGTAGTTGAAGGAGTTCAGAAATATGCAATGTTCGTACATACATGAGTGCGCGTGTGTGTACGTTTGACATAACGCCTTCCCATAAGAGACAGACGTAATCATTCTAACGCTACATCTTGTATGTGAGAGGAGGCAAAAGAGGAAGAGTTGAAAATGTCGCTAATTATTTGTAATGTTGTATGTCATGTGATAGGCTCGAAACACAGATTTTGGCGGTAAATTAATTTTAACCGTGCAGACGTAAACGAAAGCATGATATTAGCATTAATTGACCAATCAGGAGTCAGAGAAATATGAAGGCTCTGTGATCCACTTTCTGCACAAAAGTCGAAAGCAAGTGGAAGCAGAATGCTAAAAACCTATAGTTAAACTTCAGCGGCATACTTCAATTATGCGGATTAAAAAAAGTAAAAAAAACAAAAAAGAATGGACTTTCTATTAGGTATCTACAAAGAAAAAACAACACCTAAGATTTAAAATGAATTTTTAAAAATGAAACATGACCCCTATCACAACAAGGGTAATCGTAGTTTTAAGTTTCCACATTTTGGTTACATCGGTTTGCAGGTCCTTATATGATAGCTTTTTAAATTCTTTTTTTTTTTTTTTTAAATTAGAATCCCGTGGGCAAGTCATATCAATTAGTTGAGGGGTTCTGTTTTTTTAAATCTTTTATGATTATGTCTGATCTATTTATCATTATTATTTTATTTCCTTTGATTTCTGGTGTGTACTCATTTCTTTCCGGGTCTCGGCCAGAGACCTAAGGTTGGAAATGGCGTCATGAGATTGTTCACTGAGCAATTTTTAAAAAAATCATATATTTTACATAGATAAAGCCCTTCGTAAGGTGTTGGCTGTACATGTGAGAACATTTTTTGTATTTCTTTAAGGCATGGGCTAACAGGGATTCCTTCAATGAGACTCTTGGAATATTTTCCAATCAATCCAAGGATTCCAACTACAACAAGGATTGCTTATGTTTTCAAGTGCCGCATCTATTATTATTATTATTATTATTATTATTATTATTATTGGCTTCCAGTGAATCTATTGGAATCTTTTCCAACCAATCCAAGGCTCGAACTACAACAGGGATTGTTGATGTTCTCATGTGCCACATTTTTGAGATTTGAATTTCAAGATCCTTGTATTTTGATAGTTTTTTGAAGATCTTCAAAGATACATTGCAGTCTGCAGGGACTGCCATATCAATAAGAAGGGACTTTTTTTGTTTGCGGTCTCTAATAACAATGTCTGGGCGATTAGCTCTGATTGTTCTATCTGTGTGTATTGTGAAGTCCCATAAAATTATTACAAGTCCTATCTCTGTGTCATGGTCCAGGTTAGGTCCAAGGAAGAACAACACGAACACAGGAGTAGAAATAACGAAGGTATATTACATGAAATAATAATACAAGAGGTGGAAGGTGTTAGTATGACTGTCAGTCTGGTTTGGAGTGAACTACTATCGGCTCGACTCGATTCGTCCCTCTCTCTTGAGAGGCGTAGTATACATAGTGTTAGGAAGAATTCATTCTGTAGTTATAGATAAGGACCCATGACACTCTATAACCGGGTCTGGTTGGTATTTATCACAGAATCTCCATTTTTGGACTAACACAATTTTCAATAAGTGTGCTTGATAATTTCTAGTTAGCAAGCATTGGTCATGTGCAGCAAGAATAAAACCTTCGATTTCAGCTTTTAATCCTGCACTACGTATCTACTGATGGGTACGGAGTTTGTCTACATCAGCTTGTTTGGTACGGGCAGAGTATTGGCCATGAAGCGGTTTATCTCGACATCGTTTTTGTATCTGGTCGGTTACGTTTGCCTTTGCTTTCTTTTTTAAGTATTTTGAAGCTTCAGTCGATGTATTATCGATGCTTTACTTGTATTTCTACAACCATTTGAAACTCTATTTTGAACTTATTGGTTTCCTTTATTACTAAATAAAGTAAATTAATACTTTCATGTTATTTGACATATATTATCATTCAGTCTTCTGTAGTTTCCAGGTATCTTTAAAGGCCAATTGTTGTAGTTTTGTAAGACAGTTCTAGTTGAACTAATCCTCTGCCTCCTTCGGATCTGGGCACATAAAGACTACCAACATCAGCTTTGGAATGATGAATCAGGTAGCAAGTGAGAAGCTTTCTCGTTTTGGCGTCCATTCGCTTAATGTCAGCTATGGTCCAGTTAAGGACGTTAAAACTATATTGCACCACGGGGACAGCCAAGTTTTTTTATGACTAATATTCTGTTTTTTGAATTCAGTTCGTTATTCACTACCAGACGCACACACCTATAGTACTCTTTTCTTACCTTCTCCTTCATTTAGGTATGCTATATTCCATCACCTTCACTAATTCCTAGGTACTTATAGGCTTCATCTTATTACAGTTTCCTAATTTTTTTGACAAAATCTAAATCTACTGAGTGTGTTTCTGTAATTTTCCCTTTCTTGAATGTTCCTTTTGCGCATTTATCTAATCCGTAATCCAATTCTATGTCGTCACTGAATCATTTTACAATATTGAAGAGATCCTTCAACACATTGTCGTCTTTGGCAAAGAGTTTCAGATGTAGAGTAGGTGATTGAATACTTTCTTGTTTAATTTATATCCATAGCTATTATTATTTAGTTCATGCGTAAGGGGGGGGTTAAGGACAGGCAAAACAGAAGGGGTGACAGAAAGATTACACATCGGATATCCAGACGGTGGGAGATGGTAGTGCGTCTAGTGTAATTTAGGTATAGTGTGGTGTTCCACATTCCCATGCTGTGCTTAAAGACATTTACTACCACAGGGGAGACTTTATACATTTCCAAATTCTTAAGGATCCAAGAGTGTGGCACACTATCAAAGGATTTACGGTAATCAATGCATGCTGTCTTACTACACCATCTCCTGCATTTTCCAGGATCATTTTGTTTATCAGTAGTTGATCTTTGCAACCATATGAACCTCTCCTGCATCCCTTCTGTTCCAGTGGAAGAATATAGATTGCTTCGAAAAAACAGTAAGTATGATTCGTCAGGACAGACGTGATCAATTTATACGTAGCGGATGGACATGTTATTGGCCTATAATTTTTCGGATAATCTGTTTCACTAATTTTTGGCATGTGATATGTAATACCTTCAGTGATCCATTCCGGGATTTCATTGGGATTATTTATAAGCATTGATAGAGTTTGTACAGAGGATTGTTGATAGGTGATAGAACCAGAAATTGGGCACCTTGTCATTTCCCAGGATTTCCATTTTTGAGATTTCCTTAAAGCGTGTATCTATCTATCTACTATCTATATTTCTCATGTTGTCTGTCTGTGTGTCTGTCGTGGGCGTTGTTACCTCGCCCAGGTCGCATTTCTCACCTGATT